TCTAACCACCGCACTGATCTATATATAATGATATAGTGTCCTTTCTAATCATATATGGGATCATATAATCACCCAGACCCTGAGGCTTTTGCTCTGAGTATATTCTGACAACATGTCAGAAGTGCCGGTACGCACAAAAAAGTGCAGGTACTCTAAAGGCTAAAATATAGAAGTACGTACCGGCCCACTTCAACCACTGTGTGTATATATCTATCTATCTATCTATCTATCTATCTATATATATATATATATGGGTATGGTGGGGTGGAGTCAAAAGTAACAATTTTTATATTATATTATATTATTTTTATATTAATTTAAACAATTATTATCAAACAATTATATTAATTTTAGTAACAAATATATCTTAGTGTAGGCTATATCTTTACAGTTTTATAATTCATTATCTTCTTGTCGATCCACCAGTTCACTTATTGAAAAATGCTAATTCATTCTCTGCCAGCAGGTGGCGCTTTTCACCAGAAATATAGCCATTTCCCCCATAACCGCAGTAAACAAAGCAGCTCAGCACCTGACTTTGAAACTTGCAGCGCTCATATTTAATCAATTAAATAGCCTTATAATATATAATAAGCTATATCTCATTATACATGTAAATATACATTTACATGTATATTTAGTTTTTTTTCACTGGTGCACCACCTGAGTCTTCTTCTCCAGTTTCTACCAGTGATCATTGTTTCCTTCCCGCGGTACTACCTGCACACATATCAGTAGCATCACTGGGCTGTAGGTTGCCAAGTTGAGGGGACAAATGGGTTGAAATTTGTATGCGTCGATCGTGTGAGAAAGATGCATTTCATACAAGATCTGGCAACTGGACAACCTTGGAATTTGTTGTCGTGATTATTCATATGATGAGGTTTGGCCCATACAAATGACGGGAGTTTTACCAGAAGCAAATGTAGCAAACATATAAAATATGCCCAGTGGGATTTTTATTTTTTTTATAGAAAGATTAAAAATATGAGAAAATATTTAAAACGGGATGATAGCGGGATAGAATGGTAAAATACGGGAGAATCCCGGGAAAAACGGGCGGGTTGACAGGTATGCTTAAATCTGGAAAAAAATGGAACAGTATTTGTTTTATTTTTTTTGCTTTAAATAAATATCTTTCTTTAAATTCTAAAGACACTGAGCAAAAAGTTTTAGATAAAAATGCAGGCCTATAAGTGCAAAAATGGTGTTTAAAATCAAGGTATGATAGATGATAGACTACAACAAATTCAGTCAATGTGAACAAAACCGGCTTGTGAAATTTTGTAAAATAACAAGTCAAGGCTAGATAACTCAAAATGCTTCAGCTGGCTGATTTAGGATGTAATCCCAGACACATCATGTGTTAAATGATGTCTTACCCAGGACGGTGAGGAAAGCCTTGGCTGTTTTGACAGGCATGGTGAAGAGGGAGCAGGTGTACATCCCCTCGTCTGCCAGCGTGACCTCACTGATGTTGATCGTCAACTCCTGCGACGTGGCTCGGACCAGCTCAATCCGGTTATCTCTCAGCGCTGCCGGAACAAACAATCAAGAGAGCACCATTAAATATGACACCTTCATTAGCATGTGCCATACTCAAGAGCGGCGGATTCTCTGTGACTTTCTCAAACCACTTAAAGTTTTAATGCATGAATTGCATACTTACCAACAGACAAGACATGAAAGCATTGAAACGTCAAGAATGTGCAATTTTAACCTAAAAAATTAATTTACAAAAGGGAACATGTCAATCTATGAAACTATTCTCATATTATGCTAAGTATGAGGATCAGTTCTTTGCTACAGGGAAAAATTATTTTATGATGGCTTTCAGTCAGAGGGCAAATGGAATATGGATCAGTCGGGATTCAAATCTAACATCATTTCAGTCAACAGTGTACAGAATGAGCATTCATCGATTTGAAACATACATGCTTGAGCTCACCTACTCATTTACAAACTCTGTATTTATGACATTTGCAGGTTATTTACCCAGTCGAGTCTGAATAAAAGTAAAGTTCAAACTTATTATGATTGTGACCTCTGTGCAAAAGAGGCCTAAGGATACGGTTTTAGTTATTACACCTTTTAGTGTCCATCATCACACAGGCCTAATGGAAAGGTCAAAGTGCTAATGCAAAGGTCAAAGGCAAACGTGAAAGACGGGCAGTAATTCCCGAGGCATCTTTAACATGCTTTGTTTAATGGTAATGACTATACTCGGAAAAAGTCTGGCAGATCATAAGATATCCGCCATGTGGCGGCACAGTTTAATCAGCGGAGACAAGGTCACTAGTTCTAACCTTCTGCTTTCCATAAAACTCACTCATAGACATTTTGAGGCTCATTGACGCTCTGTAGCAACCTGCCAGAATATTCGCGGATGAGCTTTATGGATCTTTTCTCCCAGGAGAATAGAAAGAATACATTCTCATGGTCAGTCATCAGGGTGACCTTTCAAAGCTCTCTTAATAAAAAAGTTGGTCAATGCCTTAGCCGTTTGCCTTGTCATACCACCTGAAAACTTTAAATTGAATACAGCAGTCTTAGGGAATAGACTAGATACTCATTTATAGATAGCGTGTTTGAGTTTATGCGGATGAAAAACGAACTGCGTTACAGAAAAAGCTACATTATTTAATAAATAAAATGAGTAGTGCCACTATTTTCATTTACAAAGATCAACAAATACAGTCATGATTGCCTAAATAGAAGCTTTATGGAGATGAATTTCATTTTGTGATCACAGTAGGTTAAAGCTCTCAGCCACATCGAGCCGTATACACACCAATTACTATGTTAAAGGAACTTTAAAGGAAGTGTAAAGTGGAACCACGCTGGCACACTCCGGGTATCCAAACAAACATCCCACAAACCCACTTACACACCTCAGTGAGGCCTTTCGTAGTTGTAATAAAACAGCCTAACTGATGTTGTGTGTTGACCATGTGTTTTCAGACGCGTCTCCCCAGAGGTCTGAGTGCAGCTCCCTCTGGACAGCAGCATCTCTGAGGTAATTGAACATAATGAGGTTCATTACAGGAAGAGATGCAGGCCAACGCTGGAATGAAAAAATAACTTGCGGTACAGGCTGTTGTTAATGCCTTCCTGTACTCTTTCCCAAATGAAGTGCATTTCAAATAATGTGACCACCATGGCAATGGTGTGTGGTGGATTATGCAAAAAAAGTTAATTATTTCAAATTAATTTGGATTCAGATGTGACTAATGCTGGGTTAAAAAAAAAAATAGGTTAATCACAAGTCTCTGATGCTCAACATCAGGGACGTGCACATACATTTTGAGGGGCAGGGGCTCAAGTGGAAAAAAGGGCACTTCTCATATTTATTTAAATTTTTTTCTAAACAAAACATTAAATATATTAGGGGTGTGCAATATTGTATATATCTCAATATTTTCTGGGGTTTTATCGATAACGATAATTAGATGATATTTTGCTGAGTGTGTTATTGTGCTGATAACTTAAGGACTACCGTGGACACCTAAAACTCAAAAAGTTTGTGATATTCTGCATATTCTGTGTGGTGATTAGTTCACAGCAGAAATTAATCTTTTCCAATAAGTTTAAATTGATTTTTACCTTTTATGAGCATTTTTACCTTTAAGCTGTTTTTTTCTTCTAAAAGTGTGCATCATCTTTTCAGTTAAATTCTTAAATTGAATCAGTCAATTAGAATAATAAGTCATTTGGGCTGTTACCAGTCCAAAATCAGTATTGACAAAATTAATCTTTGCAATGCAGAGGAAACACAGAAGCTGCATTAGAAGGGACATTGATGCATTTACACACTGTTTAATGCAGGACATGAATGTATTTAACCTGCAGTTACAAATGCATTAATACTGTTTTGATATTTTAAACATAAAACGTTAAATACTGATATTTGAAATTATTTAAAAAAATGAAAAGATACTTTAAATGTGAAATTAAAACTGCCAGTAGGCGGCAGCAAGTCACTGTTAATAAGTGAGTCATTGCAACTGAACTGAATCATTTAAACGGGTGATTCAATCAGGAAGAAAACAGTGTCATGTTGCTCAGAGATGCAAATTGAAATTATATTTGTTGGCGAAATAGAGCAAAAACAGTCAATATTGTGTCTAAAACGAAAGTGTCTTAATATTAAATTGTTGTGTATTGAACTGCTGTATAAAATCAATATCACATTTCTCATGTTGCTTTTTGGTTGAAAAAACGTCAGTCTTCGCGTGATACTGATTAACTATATGAAATGATATAAATATATACATTTCTGCCCCATATGTTGCATTTTGTGATCATTCTAAATGCATTTTAATAAACTGAATCATGCAGTGAAAGAACTTTGACTGGTCTAACCTACTAGACTTCCTATTGCCTTAACTAAACTTTAGCTAACTTGGTAGGTCCCATGAGTCATGGCAGGGGCGGATTTAGTGATTTGGGGGCACTATGCAAATTCCAGGTATGGGGCCCCAACAAAATAACTATGTGCTCTTTTACGCCTAACCCTTATTTTGCTCACTCGCTCTCATAGTTTACAGTTTATTTATCCCTTCACAACCAGTAATAAGACACCCTGATGCTGTTATAAAGCCATATTAGGCTATCTTATTTTTTATTTTTGTTTTGGATCACAAAAGAAAAAAAAATGCTTTCACTTGTCCATTTAATAAATTGTAAACTTCTTCATTCTTTTTACTAACATAAAATAATCCCATGAAACTCATTTCATATTCCAAGTGTTCTGAAGGCATACGGTAGGGTTTGCTGAGAAACAAATCGAAAATGTAATCTAAGTTAGCCTATTATTAAGCGAAAACCTCCAGTCATTGCATTCGTGGATTTATACGAATGCGCGGCAGTTCGCGCCGGCGAGCCTAGGAAAAGCACACAAGCCAGCGAGTCATATTGAAACATCAAGAAAAATAAAATTATGACTTGAAACACAATAATTTCTTTACTGAGGTGAATATCCCTGTTCTGAGACAGCCAGACAGTATTATACAGCCTAGAATGCGCGAAAAGAGCACTCCCTCATATAATCACTAAAAGCTGTCACTCACTTCAGTTTATTGCGATCTCACGCATTCCGTTAATAAGCTATTATGAATCTCTTATTTACATCGAATCTACACTTTGTTATAATGAGAGGATTCCCGAGCTTGCAGAACTCAGCACTTGACAAAAACTTGGTATTTTGAGCAGTGAGTGGATTCTAACTTAAACACTTCGGGTCATTGCGTTCAAGAAATTAAACGATATGTCTGTGATTGGCTACATTGCTCAACGCTGCAAATATGTTTCGCCAATAGGCCTATCAGATGGGGCCCCCTGATTCCCCGGGGCCCTAAGTGGCTGCTTACCTCACTTATTGGTTATGTCCGCCCCTGAGTCATGGATAGGATAATTAGCTGTAAATTCGAGGCACAGGTAGCTTAGTCTGTTGTTCACCACCACTCACCTCCACACCAAGACAAACACAACTGGAAAGGGAGGGAGGGCTTCACTTCTGCGGCTCTCTGCATGTCTGTGACGTGATGTGCAGCTGATCAAATGTGCACTACACTGAGGCGTGGACGGAGAAAGGCATCGGAACTCGACACTCGACAGTCTCAACATTTCCTGACCCGACCCGACCTGATATTTTGATTTTTTATTTGTTTGACAGGGACAGCTGTGCGCAAACAGAAACACACACACACGCACACATATATTCATAAAAAAAAAACAAACAAACAAAAAAAAATAACTCCCCAGAAAAAAGGGCAGGTGCTCAAGCCCCCTTTAATGTCTATGTGTGCACGTGCCTGCTTCAGCATGTGCATGGACCCACACACAATGGTGGACATACTCTAGATTTAATCATCAGTAGAGGTCTAAACATTTCATCCATTGTTATTAAGGACGTAGCACTATCTGATCACTTCTGTATTTTCTTTGATATATTGATCTCTGCTACCACTAAATCTAGATCTGTCTCTGTCAGAAAGAGATGCATTAACAAAAACACTAGTGTGCTATTTATGGAGGCTATATCTTTAACACCAAGAATTTCTTAAGACTCTGTTGATCTTCTCCTTGATTCCTTTAACTCAAAAGTTAAGAATGTTATTGATGACATTGCTCCTGTGAAAGTCAGCAAGAAGACTGGCAGACAGAAATCAGCTTGGAGAAAATCAACAGCAGTTCAGAGTATGAAAAGACAATGCAGAAAAGCTTAGCGGATATGGCGGAAGACGAAACTTGAAATTCACTATAGCATCTATAAAGACAGCCTTCGTGCCTTCAATGTGGAACTAGGCAAAGCTAGACAGTCACTCTTCTCAAACCTTATAAACAGTAACTTAAACAACACTCGCACTCTTTTTGCTACTGTTGAGAGACTGACAAACCCCCCAAGTCAGATTGCCAGTGAAATGCTCTCCGACAGCAAATTCAATGAATTTGCTTCCTTCTTTTCTGAGAAGATCAATAATATCAGGAAGGCGATTAGCACATCCCCAAGTTATCCAGAGGTCAGACAGATTCA